CCCCAAAACCCCAAAACCCCAAAACCCCATCAATCAAGTTATTGAGCATATGAACGCAGTAAGAAATAATTCACTTATTAAATTTATTTCATAATCATTAAAAACGGCTTCAGTTTCTTAATATTATTAATTCTGTGAACCCATAATTAGGATAATGATATCATAGTCATGCTGAGATCTTATCAATTACGGGATTTATAGTTTTATTAATAACCATATTTTCTTATTAAAATTTTATACTTTTCAATTCACTTCTGGCATTTACTAATTTCTAGTTTCTTGTTTCAATTTTCTACTTAATTATAATTAATCTACATATTATTCTCTTACTTATTTAAGATTTATCGTAACATATTGGATGATTGGTGTCTTTGATGGATAATTTTCTTATTCAATTCTGGAGAATATGGGAGTGCATTACTATTGTAATATGAGTAATAATCTTCAAAATTTCTTGTAATTTCATCCTCATAATTTTACCTAAGCCGTTATTTTTACATTGAAAAACTATTTTAATCGTAATCATTAGTCGGATCCTTAGAATCAAAATTATAAGCTTAAAATTCCTAACAGTCAATCTCCTAAACTGATTCAATTCTGCTTGGCTTGTATTATTTATTTTCATACCTGACTTAAGTAACTGGATTAATTAAACTTAAGTTACTATTTACATGATTAGATTTTATCTATTTATTTCTAAATCTGCTTGGCAGGTCATTGAATGGCTACTCACTTAATGACTCATCTGAGGGACAGAAAATTTCTTAAATTGATACATTGCTCATTATTTGATTTTAATTTTATATAGGAATTCCAACCTAGCAGCTCTCAGTATTTTATGGATGAGTGCTATTCGAAGATTTGATTTTCAGTTTATTTATTGTTTAATTAAAATTAATCAGCGTATTCAATTTTAGTGATATTTTCAACTTTGAAGGAATAAATTATGGCACAACAGGCGATTTATTTTATTTATGTGCTTAATATTTGTTGTGATATTTCTTCCTAGCTTTTTAACAGCAAGATTTAATACTTTAAAAAAGTTATCTGAGAGTTACAATTGTCATATAGATCATGTTTACTAACATATTTAGGAGAGCCAAACAAACCAAGTGCCAACCAACTTAGTATTACATTTCTGGATTATCAGGCATGAAATCAGTGAATAGAAATAAGCTATAGGAAATCCCAAGAATGCAAAACTCATTGAATACTTCCAAGTAAAATACATTCAAATCTTTGAACGGTTTTAAATAGATCATAAAGAATAGAATAAAGTAGCTTGTCATGATTTAAACTTAAATTTAAAACACAGGGGACTCATCAACCAATACAATGATCAAGGCATAAATAAACCTCCTCACCAGGAACATTACATTATAAGAAATGTTAGTAAATTTTTGTGTGTTTAGCTGTTCATATAAAGAATCATATTGACTATCAAATTCTTTTTAGCCTAAGAGAGTTTTATTTCTCATAATTTTATAAATGATAAAAATAGGGAATATCACAGCTAAAAGCAAAGAAATGTAGGCTAGCAATGCTGAGAATATAGCGCTTGAATTGTAATAATCAGCTTTTTTAGCATTGATAAGTCCATTTATAGTAAACTCAATATAACTTTCAAAGTAATATCTCAGTAGAAAATTGTAAAAGAGAAGCCTTTTCATAAAAGCCATGAACCCCTTAGTGCTAAATCAAGTTAATCAAAGTTCTTATTTACTATTTAAACTAGTGTAGTTTTAAGATGGTAAAAATAAAATAAAGGCAATATACTCCTAAAATAACACAACCAAATATAAATATTGAACTTAGATTAGTAATCATGTATCTAGATGAATAGCTTAGAGGAGTTAAATTTGATTTCAAAAACTTATTCTTTAAAGATATCGTATTCTTCAAAATTATTACTATAAGCTTAATCATCTTCAAAATTGAACATATTTGAAATAATAAGTTCAGAGGGTAGGAGGTTGAAATTTGTCACTTCAAATATCATCAAAAATACCATTTAGGCGTTTGCAGGGAAATTTACATTAAGCAAAGGCATATGAAGGATTATTTGCTAAGCATTAACCATTCCCCACAAATATTATAGGGATGTTGATCTGTTTAGTTTATTAAATATTATAATTACTTACAATGCCAGATTTAATAAAACATTTCCATAGGTTACCATCTGTGCACCTTTTTACATTGTATCCCTGTTTTAATCCAAAAGCGCTGATATATCTGAAAGAAATATTTATTTTAAATATAAGTTTACCATCATTTTCATACTATCTTGGAATATATCTAAATATCTTATAATTTTTCTAGAATTATAAATTTCTATCCTTGTTTACAAAGATCAGTGGATCTTTGAAAATTATTTGAAGATCATTATATCTTTGATAAGATATTGATAGAGGATTATCAAATAAAAGCTATATTTTCATAATTGATCCTTCAAACTCCAGAATTTTCCATTTAAACTTTAGCTTATCTTAGTTTTACCCATCAAAAGCAATAATATCTAATTTCATAGTTGTATTTTACTCATAATAAGTAAGATTTTTAATAGTGCTCATTTGCTAATTATACTTTACAATTACCTTACCAAGTTGATCTATACTTTGAATCTATGCAGTAAGCTTCAAACGCTTAATATTTTTGGAATTATCATTTCCATTATAATTGATATCACTCCCACTAAGATAGGAATTATCTACCAGTTTATCTAGATATTCCTAAGGTACTTCAACTACTAAGTTTAAAATGTATTCTCTAGACATCTTAAGATTGGCATTATCACTTAAAGTAATTTTGACTTGATAGCTTCCCATATCTTTAATGGTCGGACTAATGACAAATTAATTTTGGCTTGAACTAAAAGAAACAAATTACTATGTAGAGTCGACTTTTACTGTAATAGAGTTTTCTTCATCATCAATCATACCTGGAAGTTGATAACTTATCTAATTAGGATAGGTTATTTTTAAATTCTCTAAGTTGCTGCTAAAGTATGGGGCTGTATTTTGAACGACATCATACTTGGCAATATTTGTGACATTTATTTAAAGTGTGATATCTGTGCCAACTAATATACCATCAACTTCGCCTCACAGTCACTCTGTATAAAGACCAGGAATCAAATAAGCTTATGCAACATTGAAAATGATTTTGTATCTTCCAGGATTATTAGCCATCACCTATTATAAATTTAAAAAAAATAATATATACCGAGGAGGAAATCCTTGATGAGTATAAGATTAATCGATATGAGCACTGAGTACTGCTCTATTTATCAGACCATTCAACTATAGCTGTTTGAGTACCTTTATCACCGTTAACGTATGTTGAAATAGTATTTTATGATAATTAAACTAGCTACTGATTCCTAATGCAGGCAGGAACGGGAGTAGTCGATGTTGTGGTAGTTGATGAAATTGGTGCTACTGTTGTAGTAGTAGTAGTTGTTGTAGTAATTGGCAGAGGAGTCGTAGTTGTTGTTGTCGAGGTAGTTGTAGATGTAGAACTCGTAGTTGAGGAAGTTGTAGAAGTAGTTGTGGTTGTCGTTGTTGAAGAGGTTGTTGACATTGTAGTTGTAGTAGTCGTAGTTGTCGTTGTTGTGGTAGTGGTCGTTGTCGTGGTACTAGTTGTTGTTGTAGTCGTAGTGGTTGTAGTTGTGGTTGTAGTGGTAGTGGTAGATGATGTTGTTTCAGTAGTAGTAGTTTCAGTGATACAAGCTCCACCCCATTTAAAGGCCCAAAACCCAGCACTACTTATACTTCTACCTCCATAATTAAGTACAAAATAGAAAGTATAATCTGGATATGTATTATAGATGCTATTTATTTTGAGAACTCCAGTCTAAGAATCAATAGAATAAGCAGCTTGATTACAACTTGTTATGCAATTAACACTATAGGTATATACATCAGGAGTGCACAAAACATTAGATGTCTTAAGTTCTATTAGATGCTTCAACGAAAAGTATTAATCACCCATATATGAGGTACAATAATATAAATGATTCACAGAAAGTTAAGTATAAGTGAAAGTAGCTGAATTACAAGTCACTAGTTATCATTTCTTAGAATCAGATATAAATTCTTACTCATTTTCTTTGTTTTACTTTTCATTTGATGGAGTAAAAAGTTAATGATTTTCGTATTTTCTTATTGCTGATCTGAATTATTAAGTTTCATCTTCAGTATTTTCTAAATTTTTATTGAGTAATTATACCTTTCTGAAATCCAGATTTGATAGTAGATCAATTTCAGAATCGTTCAAAATGAAACTATATTATTGCGAAGATATTCATATTTAAAGTTACTAAGTCAATAATTCCTATTCTATTCCTAATATTTTAAGCCTCATAAGTTCTTTAGATATTTCTATAATAATAATTTTGATAGATTCATCATCCTTAATTTCTTTGCCATGTACTTCATCATTAACTTCTTCAATTATTTAGTATCTGTCAATGAATTATCTCTATTATTCTTCATTATTAAATAAGTATAACTATGTTTCGCATTTTAAAGTTACTAACGTAATTTGTGAGATCTCTTCATTATTATTTATATTTTTTGAAGCTTAAACATTATATTTATCTATTTTTAAATTACTCATTGCATTTAAATATCCAGTATTATCGAAATGAGTGCCTCCCTATAAAATAACATCATTTTGAGACTAGCCTTCTTAAATTACTATCTCACTCTAAATAATTTTTTTTAATTAAAAGCATGTGGATAGTTTGATTTCATTCTCAAAATAAGGAAAAGTACCATCACTATTAGTGTATGAGTGGAGATTTGATGCAGAGAAATATTATTAGCCTTTTTAAGTCGATGCTTATTCTGCTAATATATTTTATTGAATTTCTCTAATGTCACAGTAATAATACTTTTGATTGAGTGATTTCTTGTTATAATGCTAATCTTAATTACTTAGTTTACATTCCAGATCAATAAAAGAGGCATAAGACATGGTTGAAACCATGAAAAAACTCAATAGTATTTTTATCATATATTATTTATCAATTATATAAATAATATATATCATAATCTAGTAATTTTATAATTATATTTCTAAGATTTGCTTGTGATTCATTATGCGAGGGGGGTTTTGGGGTTTTGGGG